TCACTCCATATGTATTTGTAAAATAAAATAAATAAACATATCTGTATTCGTTTTCTGTCTACTTTTCTGTGTCATTATTTCATAGGTATTTGCCTGATAAACACCACATAGCTGGGCTTCTTTTTTAACCAATTTGAGGATCTCAGTCTTTTAAGATGTGAGTTAAATACATTTATATATCAAAGTGTTTTTTGGTTTATTTTTGTTTTTGTTTGTTTTGTTTTGTTTTTGCTGCTGGCTGGTACAGGGATCCATTATTTTGATTTTTTATAGCTGCATGGTGTTACACTGTACCATAATTTATTTAATCCATTGCCTGTTAATATCTTGATTACTTTAGATCTTTTGCTATTGCAAACAATGCTGCAGTAGATACCTTTATTACCTAAGTTGTGTCATATGTGGAGTATATCTGTAGAATAACTCCTAGAAATGGGATTGCTAGGTGGAAAGATATGTACATTTGTCATTTTGTTAGCTAATGACAAATTGCCTTACATAGGAATCTGGTACAACCCTTAGGTAAAGCAGTTAGGCACTATCTAGCAAAATTGATTTTTGTCAGTCTGTTAAGTGAAAATGGTATTTCAGTATAGGTTTAATTTGCATTTCTCTTATTTTAAGTGAGATTTAGAATATTTGAATGCTCTTTGTATTTCTTTTTATGTGAATATTTGCCTATTTTCAATCGGATTGTTGGGCTTTTCTATAGCTGTTTTTACAAGTTTTTTATTTTATTTATTTATTTATTTTATTTTTTTCCTTTTTGTCTTTTTTGTGACTGGTAACGGGATCGCAACCCTCGGTGTCGCACCCGCACCGCGCTCAACCAGTGAGCAGACGGGTCTCTATATGGGATCCGAACCCTCGGCAGGAGCGCCGCCGCACTCCCAAGCGCCGCACTCTACCGAGTGCGCCACCGGGCTGGCCCTACAAGTTTTTTAGATACTGGGAAATCATCCCTTGTTCTGTAATATGAATTGAAATGTATTGACTTTTTAAAAATTCTAAGCCACCTTCTCCATATGAATCAAGAAAAATGATGAGAAAAAGTTTGAATTATTATCTCAAAATTTTATTTTCTGCTAGTAAAAGCTACATTTTTCTGGTCATTTTACAAATGAAAAAAAACCTGAAGATCAGAGGTTTATTCATTCATTTGTTCAACAAATAATCATTAAGTACCAATATGTTCCAAACAGGTTCTTTACTTTCAGGATACAGCAGTGAGTAAAACAGAGTACATCCTTATTTTATGGGCTTGCATTCTTGCGTGGTGGGACATAGACAATAAACCAGTAAAATAAGATACTTTCTGATAGTGGTAAGTGCTATGAAGAAAAAAACCAAGGTGGTGTGCCTGGCAAAGAATAGACAGGCTGTTAGACTGGGTGGTCTGGGAACTTCTATCTGAAAAAGTGAGATTTGATCTGAAACCTAAAAGAGAAGATCAGATCTGGAAAATGGAACTATTAGTGCAAGTCCTAATACAAGAACGAGTTTGGTTTGTTCAATACACAGAAAAGAGAAGTATGGTCAGAAGAACAAACGGGAACAGGCCGAGCCGGAACGCCGCGGGTTCGGATCGGGGACGCTCGCGGTGCAGCCGGTCACAAAAAAAAAAAAAATAAAAGGACAAAAAAAAAAGAACAAACGGGAAGCCATCGGGAGTTTTTGAAAGGGAGAGTAATTTGATCTGATTTTATGTGCATCAGTCAGGAGAGGCTAGGTTAGCAATTCTGCAAGTTTTGGTTTCAACACCAAGGTTGAGGGTTCAGATCCCCGTACTGGCCAGCCACAAAAAAAAAAAAAAAAAAAAAAAAAGTTTTGGTTTCAGGTCCAGTTATGTTATAAAATATTGAACATCTCAAATAGCTTTTTAGTTTTTATTTATATTATTTATCTATTGCTGCATCACCCCAAAGTTTAGTGACCTACAACAACACTAATCATTTACTTTCTCTGGGTTTCCGTGAGCCTGGAATTTGGGAGCACTTCAGCTGGGATCTTCTGGCTTGGGTTCTCTTATGAAGTTCAGTCATCTGAAGGCTTGACTTGGGCTGAAGGATCTGTTTGCCAGATGGCTCAATCACATGAGTGGCAAATGGATGCTGGCCATCAGCAGGAAACCTCAATTCCTCTTCATGTGAGTCTTTCCACAAATATGTTCAGGTGTCCTCATGTCATGACATCTGGGTTCCCCCAGAACAGGTAATCCAAGAAATAGGAATACAGATGTCAGAATGCCTTTATGGCCTAGCCTCAGAAGTTATATTATCATTTGCTCAATAACCTATTGGTTACCTAGCCCTGTTTAATGTGGGTGTGACTATCAGGAGGCAAGATCTTTGCAGGCCATCTTGGAGCTTGGCTACCACAATGGGGGTATTTTTAAATTTATAAATACAAACATATATTTATGTGGTATATATGTTTGTATATAAGTATATTTATAAGATAAAATTATATTTATTGATATTTACCATATTCAAAATTAAAACAGAAAAACTTTAAATACTAGTTTGTTAATTTAAAAATAAGCCCATGCCAACATCTACAGCCATACCACCCTGAACATGCCTGATCTCTCAAAATAAGCCCACTGTGTGTTAATATAAATAATGTATTTTTAGTGAAAATATATTTTCCAAAGCAAAAATAATTAGTGAGAAGAATGGATTGATTTACATTTCTCTTTTAAAATCTCTTTAATACCTAGTTTAACAGAAAACAGTTGGATTCTCATTTCTGCTTCTGCATATTCCACTGAACATTCATAAGAGAATGACAGTGAAAATGGAAAGTAATTTTTTAGTATTATTGTAAAAATATTTTTGACCTCATGGAATCTTGGGGGAGGGGGTTGTCATACGGAGGTTCCAGGCAACATTTTGAGAACCTTGAGCTAGATTATGATATGGTAACAAAACGTCCCCAAATCTCAGTAGCTTACAACAAAGGTGTATTTCTTGCCCATGCTGCAAATCCATTACAGGTTGCCCATGGTTCTATTCATTGTCATCTTCACTAAGGAACCCAAGTTGACATGGCAGCTGGGACATTGCTAGTCACTGAGATGGGGAAAAGAGAACATGATGAACCATCCTGGCTCTTAAAGCTTCTGCTTGGAAGTTGTGTGTCACTTTTTTTTTTTTTTCTTTATTCTTGAACAAAAGCAAGGCACATGGCCAAAACTTAACTCATCAGGGCTGGAATGTATAACCTCCCTGCAGGGAGGGGCCCCACTGGAAGGGATACCAAGTGTATATGCTACATATACATCTGCCATGGTGTTTAAAAAATACCACTGTGGTTGCTGCATGGAGAATGGATTATATTGCAGAGAGGCAGGAAGGTATTGTTACAGGCTGACTGAAGTACTTTAGCAAGAAATGATATTTGCTTGGACTAGGGTGGTAATAGTGGTCTGATTCAAGATGTACTTTGGAGGTAGAGTTAGTAGGATTTGTTCTTGGAGAGGGGTGGACATAAGAGAAAGTACTAAAAGATAATTTTTACATTTTTGGTTTGAGCAACTGGGTGGATGACGGTGACATGTACTGAGGTGGAGAAGACTGAGATAACAGGTGGGTTTTTCTTTTTGCGGGGGAAGGGTGTGGAACAAATGTTCTGTTTTGAACATATTAAGCCCAACATCCAAATTGAAATGTCCAGGAGGCACTTGAATATGTAAGTCTGGAGATCAAAGGAGAGGTCAGAGCTAGCGACAGAAAAAAAAAATTTTTTTTAGAGGGATTTTTATTTTATTTTGTCGATATACAATGTGGTTGATTATTGTGGCCCATTACTGAAAGAGAGACAGAAATTTTGGAGGCATTAGCATAGAGCTGAATTGTAAAGCAGTGGAGCTGGAGGAGATCTCCTAGAGCGATAAGGAAGAGGGCAAAGCCTAAAGCGTGGGCGTACTCCAACTTTTATAGGTGAACACTGGCTTTGGATCCAGCGAAGGAGATCGAGGAGCTGCCATTGAGGTGAGGTGCAAACCGGTAGAGTGCTGAGTCATGGAAGCAAGAAGGAGAAAATGTCTCAAGGATGGAATAGTTTATTCCAGTTTCTAGAAGTTGAATACGATGAGGATAGCAATGTGGCCATGGTATTTAGGGACGCGGAAGCCACAGTTGACCTGGACAACTAAGGAAAGATAGGTAGCGAGGAATGGAGAAACCTCATTTGAGAAGTTTTTCGTTGGATAGGTAAGAGGAGAAAAGGGGGGGGGGGGGGACAAAGATGTGAAGATGACATGGTATGTTTGTGAAATCTTTATGTAAACTGCAAGTGCTCAATAAATGTTAGAATAACAAATAACAAAAGAAGCCTAACTCCTAGGAATTTCAAACCAGCGCAGTGTGAAGAACCACTAAGATGCCAAGTCTCCAGTTCACGGACCATTAAGGCACAAAACCCTTAAGCCAATAAAGGGGGGGGGGGGGTGACAAAGATGTGAAGATGACATGGTATGTTTGTGAAATCTTTATGTAAACTGCAAGTGCTCAATAAATGTTAGAATAACAAATAACAAAAGAAGCCTAACTCCTAGGAATTTCAAACCAGCGCAGTGTGAAGAACCACTAAGATGCCAAGTCTCCAGTTCACGGACCATTAAGGCACAAAACCCTTAAGCCAATGAAAAGCCGAGACATGAGCCGATCAGAGAAGGCGGAGCGGAAGGGGAAGTGGAAAGAGAAGGAGTGGGATTGATGTCCTTCCAGGGACACCGTAGGGCAGGTCTCGCGCTATTTTATCGCGTTAGGGGTGGAGCCAGCAGGAAATTTAAACTGAAACCGCGGCCGAGGGCTCCTAGAGAATGATAGTGGAGTTGCACGGGAGCGGCTGGCGGTCTGAAAGAACAGCCGGGAGTCTGAAAGAGCTCATGGAGCCCGCGAATGTAACACGGCGTCCTTGAGGAAGGAGTACGGGTGCCGAGAAGGAGCCGAGACTGTGTTGAGCGAGCCGGGGAAGGGTACGGATGCCGGGAAGGGGAGAAGCGGCTGAGAGGGAAGGTGGAAGGGGTCGTGAGGTGAAGAGGCGTTGGAGCTGAGGAGCGGTTAGGCGCAGGCTGAAGAGGATTTAGGGGCCGGGAAGAGGGTCACAGGAGTGAAGCCCACGGGGGGCGGAGGGACGGGAATTGACATGTACAAGCGGTGTCCAAGAGGTCGTGGGAGTTGAGGGGGAAGGGGACGGAGGGACTGAGGGATGAGATCCTGGGAGGAGGCGCGGAAGTTGATACGGGATGTGGGTCTTGCCGTTCCCGGGAGCACGTTGGCGGATTGTGCAGGGTTTGTAGGCGGTGGGGGCGAGAGGGACGGGAGGTAGAAGGCTGGTTAAGGTAGTGGAGCTTCTGTTTTGTGCTTCTTTTTCAGGCGACGATTGCCTGAGCTGGAGAGTTCCATGGCTGAGAGTAGCCTCCGGGCTCCGGATTTAGGTGGGTAACGGGTCAAAAAACTAGGGATGCGAGGGCCGAGTTGCTACTCCTGCCCCAGGGTCTCTTGGAAGGAAAAGGCCGAGAAACTTCAGCCCTATTTGAGTTTTCTAATCAGTTTGGAGAGAGGGTGTGTGTGTGGAGAGAGGTGTCATAGATCATTTAGAGATTCATGGTAAAAGTCAAACAAGAGTTAGATATTATGAACAAGATTAGCAGAAGATGCGGAGTCAGGATAGAGTAACTTACTAAACCTATACTTATGGTTATTTTTTACCATGAAATTATTAAGTTTACGGGTAAACTTAAACAATGCCACCCACTGGCGGCATTTTAGCACACATAGTCACTTCCCTTGGTACTGTTCCCCCTCGCATTTCTTTCAGTATCATCTAGTTTTAGTTCTGGATTATTAACAGATATGTCATTTGGTTATTGCCTTTTAAACTGTAATGCACTTTACTAAGTTATTCATTCGTTCTTCCCATATCTTGTTGCTTTCTTCTGGATGTATTTCTTTTTGCTGGAGAGCCTTCTCCAAGAGTGTTTTTAAAAACAGGGCTTTGTGTGATAAACTTTCTGAGGCGTATATGCATGAGAATATCTTTATTTCACCCTTGTATTAAAATTTCCTTTAACACACTGAGAAATTACAGTATTTTCTTTTTTGCAAAAAGTAGATGCTGTTAAGAATTGATGTCGCGTATATGCATGAGAATATCTTTATTTCACCCTTGTATTAAAATTTCCTTTAACACACTGAAAAATTACAGTATTTTCTTTTTTGCAAAAAGTAGATGCTGTTAAGAATTGATGTCAATCTGATTCTCGTTCCTTTGTAAATAACCTCCTGCTTTTCCCTGATTTTTTGTTTGTTTTTTGGTGGCTGGCCTGTACTGAGTGCTTTAGTTTTTAGAAGATTTTAGATTGTACTTTTTATATTTGTTCTTAAAATTCCCTATAGCATGATTATGTACGGATTTTGGATGGTTTTCATTTTCATTACAGTTTTATGTTTACATAGTTTAAAAGGCCACAATCTATCACAAAAGAACAGGAAGTGTGGGAGTTGCTCCTCCTTTCATATCCTCTGATTCCCACTCCTTAGGGTGCAACCATTTACAGCTCTCTTTGCTATTTCTTCTGGTAGTTATCTTCTTATCTCTATAATAGCATGCTTTTATTGTTTTTGTTGTTTTCAATTTTAAATTATATTTATTGACTGCCTATTGTGGAAAATAGATATTTTTTTCTGTTTCCCCAACTCTACTGAATCACACACAAACACCCACACATTCCCCTCCTCTCTCCTTATCCTCATGTATATAAGTAGTAGTTTTTGTTTAGTCATTTTGTATTTACATTCTAAATATAGATTCAATTTTATTTCTCCTTTGTGGGACTCGTTTTGATTTTTGACACCAAGATTCATGTAATCAGTTACAGAAAATTTTAGCAATTTTCTCTAAATATCATGTTTATCCCATTTTCTTCTTCCAGAATTCCAATTAAATGTATGTTGAGCCTTCTCAATTCATTTTCCAAGTCTGTTAACCTCTTATTCATATTTTCCAATTTTTATCTCTCTTTGTTGCATTCTGGGTAATTGCTTCATAGCTGTCTTCCAATTTGCCAGTCTTTCTTCATTTGCCTTTACTCTGTTTTTTAATGAATCCATTGGCTTTTTATTTCTATTACCCCTATCTTTTTTCTTTTTTCTTTTTATTTAGTACTGTGTGGCTTTTTCCTTTTGTTTCTTATATCATTTTAAATATTTATTTTATAGTCTCTATCTGAAAATTCTACTTCAAGCTCTTTGGGATCTAATTTTACTGTCTCATTTCTGCTCTTGACCATGGTGTTTTGTTTCCTGCATGTGTTTTATAGTGTCAGAGTGTGAGCTAATGTTTAATGATGCTTTATCTGAGGAAATTCTGAGAACCTTGGACTGAGGTATGTCCTTTTAGAGTTGTTTTGCATTTGATTCTGTGAGGTATGCCAGGGATGTTACTAGCTGGGACTACTTTTTACATTCATTTCTATGTTTGGAGGTTGTAGTGAATTGAATTGTGCCCCCCCCCCCCAAAAAAAAAACTCCCTGAAGTTTTCTGTATTAGAAACTTAGCCCCCACTGTGACTGTTAATTGGGCGGGAGATCCTATTATGGTAATTGAAAGGTGGCACCTCCCCCCCCCCCCCAAAAAAAAACTCCCTGAAGTTTTCTGTATTAGAAACTTAGCCCCCACTGTGACTGTTAATTGGGCGGGAGATCCTATTATGGTAATTGAAAGGTGGCACCTTGAAGAGGTGAATGGGTTGTAGGACCTTGCAGTAGTGAATGGATTAAAAATGGTGGTCAGAGGACTTTAAAAGAAGAGAGTATGCCTCTCTTGCTCTCTCTGCTTCCACCACCTTGCAATGTGAGACCCCTGGGTAACTGTCGCCACCACCAGATGGACTTTGGACTTCCCAGCCTCAGAAACTGTAGGCAGTAAATTTCGTTTTTCTTTATAAATCACCCAGTTCCAAGTACTTTGTTATAGCAACACAAAACGGACTAATACAGAGGTGGTGATGGTGGATTCTTAGACCAAACAAGTAGTATGAATTGGAATTCCAAACTGCTGGGAGGCCTGTGGTTATGAATTCTTAGGGAAGACTTCCCTTTCATGCAGAGCCCATGCTGAGAAAGACAATATTCTTTCTTGTTTCTTCTGGTGGATGGATTATCTTCTCATTTACCTTTCTCCTAAATTCACATGGGAGTTCTCAATTCCAACTTTAGGCTGGCGTAGACCTTCTCTCCTGGGCCCATCTGGCTCTTCGATCCCAAACCCTTCGTTTTTTTTAAGCACACAAACTCCCTAAGGTCAGTCAGCATTTGCTCTCACTACTGTGGTTTTCAGTTTTCTCATCATTTTTGGCACTTCTGGGATCCTCTTATTTATTTATTTTGTGGACTTAGCAGTTAGATGGGATTTGTATTTATATTTTAGCCAGTATTTATTTGTTTGTTTGTTTTGGCAGCTGGCTGCTATAGGGATCTGAACCCATGGCCTTGGTTTTATAAGACTGAACTCTAACCAACTGAGCTGACTGGTCAGCCCATGCCAGTATTTTTAGGTGTTTTATTTTGGAGAGATTCTACATTACCTGGTCTCTAATATTGCATTCAATGAAAGCCAGTATCCTCCCTTTCTCTTAAGTGTTCTGAAATTCTATGACAATGTGCCTCAATGTGAGACTTTTTTTCATTTATGGAGCTGGCAGTTGGTGGAAACTTTCTAACTGGAAACTCATTTTCTTTAGTTCTGGGAAGTTTTTAGCATTATTTCTTCAACATTCATCCCTTCCATTTTCTCTTTTCTGTTTCTGGAACTTTTATTGGATCTCATGGATCAAATGATACTTTGATTTTCTTGTTTTTCTCTCACATTTTCTATCTATTTGTCTTTCATTCTATTCTCTGAAGAATTTCCTCAGTTTAATCTCCAATTCTGTTGAATTTTTAATTTCTGTAACATATTTAATATTTCTAAGAGCTTTTTCTTCTCTGTGTTTCCTTTCTTACAGTGTCCTGTTGTGTTTAATGGATGCAGTGTATTCCCTTGTCTCTGCCAGAATATTAATGTTATTGTTTTTTGTTTCTTTTTAGTTTTTTTATGCTTTCTTCATTGTCTGTTTCCTCTTCTTTTTTCTGTTTGTTAGCCTTATTTCTTTTTTTTTTTTTTCCTTTTTGTCTTTTTTTGTGACCGGCAACGGATCGCAAGCCTCAGTGTCGTGCCCATACCGGACCAGGACCGGCAACGGGATCGCAACCCTCGGTGTTGCGTCCGCACCTCGCTCAGCCAGTGAGCGGCCGGTCTGTATGTGGGATCCGAACCCTCGGCGGGAGCTCCACCACACTTCCCAAGCGGCACACTGTAGCAGTGCGCCACCGGGCCGGCCCGTTAGCCTTATTTCTTGTTAGAAGCTTTCTTTACATGTCTGATGATCTTTGGTTACCCAATCATATTTAAGAGTGAGGCAATAAAATGCTAATTGGAAGTTCAAGGGAGGAAGGTTATGAGCTGGTGGACTCTCTTGTAGGTGATCAGGTTGGGACCTGGCAGTTTATGCGAGGAGGGACCTCCAGTGTCACTAATTTGTATGTTTTTGTCTTGGGCTATTCAGTTTCCTAGAGAGGAGTCCTCCAGTCCTCTGCCTGGTAAGTATAAGCTTGATTGTCAGCAGTCTGGGGACTTGTTGGGGGAAGAGGTCTACAGGTCTCACTATTCATAGACAAGTTTTTAATCCCCTTTTTTCACTGGGGCTTTATCCCTGCTCTCACCTGTGCCCAATGTTCCTTTAGTTCAAGGGGTTTTTTTTGTTTGTTTTTTTTTTTAAAGATGACTGGTAAGGGGATCTTAACCCTTGACTTGGTGTTGTCAGCACCACGCCCAGCCAGTGAGCGAACCGGCCATCCCTATATGGGATCCGAACCCGGGGCCTTGGTGTTATCAGCACCGCACTCTCCCGAGTGAGCCACTGGGCCGGCCCTAATTCAAGGTTTTTTCATCCCTGGCACTATTGACGTTTTGGGCCAGATAATTCTTTGTCATGGGGGATTGTCCTATACTTTGTAAATACTAAGCAGCACCTGGCTTCTGCCTGCTAGTTGCCAGTAGCACACCCCTCTTCCCAGTTGTGACAACGAAAAATGTTTCCAGACATTGAGATTTCCCCTGGAGAGGGCAAAATCTCCCCCAGTTAAGAACCACTGCTCTAGTCTTCTGCTGGGATGGGAAAGGATTCTGAGAGTCTGTTTGTTTGTTTGTTTGTTTGTTTGTTTGTTTGTTTGTTTGTTTGTTTGTTTGTTTGTTTGTTTGTTTGTTTGTTTGTTTGTTTGTTTGTTTGTTTGTTTGTTTGTTTGTTTGTTTGTTTGTTTGTTTGTTTGTTTGTTTGTTTGTTTGTTTGTTTGTTTGTTTGTTTGTTTGTTTGTTTGTTTGTTTGTTTGTTTGTTT